ACTTTTCATTGGGTGATTTTGTTTTGTGGGAATAATTAAAAATGTAATTGGTTAATCCGACAAAAAAAATTAAAAGAAATTGAAAGAATAGGGACCAGACAATAATTTCACGTGTGTGTCAGAAATCTCAGGGATGTTGGTATTCGTGTTTTTCGGCCCCTGAACAGTGCTAATTTTACACTGTTTTCGTTTGGGCCTGAAATAGTGGATTGTACCCCTATAGGCCTATCCTGGTCATGAGCAGAAATCCGAATGACTAGTCGTGGGTTTGTTCAGTGAACTGAGTTTGCTTTGTTTTAAGTTTTAATGCCACCTCAAAGACGGTGTCCATCATGCCGTTTCCATGCACAGCAACTAGGGAAATATGGAATGGTCTGTACTTGTATCTTATTCTTGAAACTTTTTCGAAATGAAAGGTACATTTCGGCAGTATTCTGTTAATTAAAGAGTTCGAAACGGGACATATTTGACTAAGTAACGGTGAGTCTTTGCCGCGCCATTTTTATAACTCGAATTCCGATATTAAACTTATGGCCAATGAGACACGGATTGCTTAACTAAAATGACATTAAGTTTTAGTCACAGGTCAAAATTGAATGTAACGTGGGTTACGGGGGGGGGATGAACGGGCTACATGTTTTTGCCTTTGCGGCGAGAATGGGGTCTAACCAAAAAGCTTTACTGATTTCACATCCGTTGCATTCTAGATGTCATTTTTTGTTGTTGAAATTCCAGCACCTGGGATTGTTCGTTTCTTTTGAGTTTATTTCATGATTTTCCTGCTTGTATTTTTTCGGGCAGACCTGTCCGGTCAGTGATGGATCAACCATTCACAAGAAAGGGCAACAGTTGTAATGCAATTGTTGCAACGTTGGGGCGATCCAAGAAGATATGGGACGTATTTTGGGCTGAGAATTCTCTTCAAACATGTCAGATTATTCTGCAGTTGAAAGCAAACGAAATTGTTATTTTAACAGATGAAAACGTATTTGCATCGACAAAATAGCATCGGCAAGTGCTGCCCGACTGTGCCTGCCCTGAATCTGTTACTGTTGAATCATCAATAACATTCACCCTACACCTCACAGCTTTTATACTGAGATCACTTAGAAGAAATGGACCCAATACAGTTGGGATCGGTTTCACGGTCGAAAATTTTGGAAATGGAAATTGTAAATGGAACTAAATCAGCATTAATCCTTCCGCTGACTGTATTCATACTTAGAAAATTGCCTTGTGGGTTCTGTGCCCAGGGAATGAGGNNNTCGGGTTCCCGGCCCACCGCACTTCCTCCCTGCCCATCCATTTAACCCAAAAAGGGTTTGAGCGACCATGCAAGGGAGGAACGAGACAGGCCCCTAAGCCCTGGCCGCCGAGTCGGCCATACGTCTCGAACCTGTACTAAGGTGCTCACCTGGACTTCGCGGACAGTCCCAGCAGAAGAGCTTATCCAGTAGGCTAAGGTACTGTTGGTATTTGTCGGGGTGAATTAGAGTCTCTTATAGCTACTGACTGACAGCAAGAGTTGGGAAAATAAAAAAGCCACCTCTGGGATTCGAACCCACCGTCTAACGATCCGATAACCGCGAGCTTAACCAGTCGGTCATTTCAGATGGATGTTAGACACATGCTGTAGGATGGTGTTGTTAAGACTGATGTCGTGATTTGTTTCGAGTGCTCAGTATACTACATGTAATGGCGTTGAAGTTCATTCCCCGCTGAGGAGCCCAGGTTTCCAGATTTTTCCAAGTCTTTCTGTATAGGGTGATGAGGGTGTTGCTGGAGTTGATTTGGTGATACTGGGAGCAACCATCTGCAAAGAGACGAACTTGGGATGTAACGCTGTCTGGGAGGTCGTTCATCATATGGCACAAGAAGAGTTACGGCCCCAACAACTGTTGCTTGAGGGGATCCGGAGCCAACGGGTACCTCCTCTGACACAACACCCTCCAGTATGACTTTCATTTTACGCGGTGTAAGGAATCACGTTAACCCACTGCGTCTTGCTCTTTTTCTTCTTTTTTTCCTGTAATTTTGGCAAACTTCTTATCACTGATTATTGTTCTAATTATCTGAACTTGTGCTCACTTATTGCATTGTTGGAGCAGCTTTTTGTTTGGGCCTATATCAATGTCCTTGTGACTGGAAACATGATGTAGCTCGGGCATATAAAAGAAATACGCTTAATTAAATTATCGTTTGCCCGTCGAAATTTGAGGTGAAATTAACTCCCATAGTAAGTTTGAACAACATGGTTTTCATTGACATAAAAGTAGGGTTAATCGTATCAGGCACACTGCAGTTGCAGAAATCGGTAAAGTAAGAAAAATGTTTTCCCCGGGAGATTTGGACCAGCAGCTGCTTTTAACCAGTTTCATTCAGAAATACCTATCAGTACTCAACAGGGGGCGCCAGACCGTAATATCGGAGAAGCGAGCCGTGGTAATAGCAGCAAAACTAATCAAAGTTTACGAAGCAGAACAGGACACAATCAACTTTTCTGATGAACAGAAGGGCGCAGAAGAAAGGGCTTGTCAGAGGAACAACCTCTTTCTTTATTGCTTGTCTTTTGGCCAATTAGCAGATTACACAAACCCTTGATCTTGTTTGGTAACATTACTAGAAGCAGAAAGCTTATTCTACAAAAGCTTGGGTCTACTTTCAAGAGAAAAATTTTATGCATTCAAAAACTACACCTAAGATAACAAGTACAAAAACGTATTCGAACAACATAACATCAAAGTTTTAAGCAGTACTTCGAAAGAAAAAACAGCAACCAACAACAACGAACAATGAAAATGAGACAATCAGATTATGTTTTTTTAATTCGAAGCTCAAAACTTTCAAAGGAGTTTAGTTTAATCTTTTATAATCAGTTAGCTCCTTTAATGAAAACAATTATTGGATATAAAATTGTAATTCCAAATATTCTTTTTACTGACTTTTTTTTTCATCACGCACCAGTTTTGTATGACTTAGTTAAATTTTCACGGTAGTATTTCGACAATTGATTATCCAAATGCAAATTCAAAAGTTCACATATTTACATATGGGTGTTCTTTTCAGTTCCAAACTGTCACTTCAAGCTGTAGAAATGTTAAAAATTCATCATGGCAACCACTTCCCAACATCAGCACTGCAGACCATAAACTCATTAATCGATTGAAACACAACTAAGAAATAAAGGGACATGTGAAGGATCCCCCGATAAAATAATAAACTTTATCGAAAATTAATTTTAGGCCTCAAGTTTTTTTAACATTAGCCCCGCGTACCCACATGCAATCAGATTACTCGCCCATAAGTCACCATGGGAACACACTTTGTTTTTTCTTTTTTTTCTATGGCTACAGATCAGAACCATCACTATCCGTGTCATTCTCGTTGTCACTGCCATTGACTCCCTGTGAGTTGCCCTCTGGCGCATACATCCCTGCAGGGGCCTGTGCTCCATCTCTATGAGGATGTGTGGACGACCCATCCTCTGATGTAGCTACTGCTAAAGAAAATGGACATGGATGGTTTAATCCTTCTTCTTTTAATACGGCCGTTTCAAAATAGTGCGCCACCAAGAGTTTGCAAGGCGTTGGCCAATCAAAGTGCGTGAAATCTGTCGACCAAATGCACGTTTGGAAAGGATCGACAGATTTTGCGCGTTGTGATTGGCCAACGCGTTGCAAACTCTTGGTGGTGCACTCTTGTGAATCGCCTGTATTAACCCTAACCTCCTAGGGAGTATGTAAAATCGTATTGAAATTGGAGGATTTGGGACTGTTAGGGTTACAAGTTGTTGAGTCGTTACGACCTATGCCATAAGCACCTGAGAATGATCTTGTATGCTAGACATACTAATGAAACCTTCTTCTCAAGTATCTCCGATTTTTTGTCAGAGAGTGATGTGAGTATACCCGTAATATAGCTGTACCTCGAACTAAAATTTAATTTAAAACCACCGACCTTTGCCTTGCTGCATTGAGGAAAGCAACTGAGCTGCAGAGAGGTCTCCACTGAACTTGAAGTCCTGAAACGGCTCTGATTTTGCCTGTGTTGCGGAGGCTGCGTGAGTTAAGTGTTGAGGCTTGTGTTGGCTTGGTGGTTGTGCCGGAGGCTGTCTATTCTGGATGAAGAATTAAAATATAGCTTTGAAGAATAGAATTGAAATACCGGTATTATGAGTTTCTGAGGCAGGACTACAAAACCAAAACCGAGACAGTGAGGGATGTTCATGTGACCTCAAGTTCTGCTGATGTATGAAGGGCATTTTGGACGCAAAAAATAATAGGAAATGTTGCTAACTCACTTGTAAGGTAGTGAACCCTTTTGCTGAACCTGCCGCACTCAAGCTAGGATTTAATCTGTCTCCACTCTGGCCCTGTGTTTTCGACCTAATTGTCGGCCTACGAGCAGGGCCGTCGACTACATCCTGGGTCAGTGACCCTTGCACGGGATCAATGCTGGCTCTAGGTTGCTGGTGCTGGGTGGGTCTTGGAATTGCCTGATTCTGACTTGCGTTCGCCTTTGATGACGACCTCAGAACCCTATCCGAGGGCGGAATGGCATCTTTGGTCCTTCGGGCTCCTGCATCAGCAGATGACGTCTTCAGACCTGACGGGGATGATTTACTCTGCATTTTCCCGTCGGGGGCGTCGTGACCTGTGGATGTTGCCGTCTTAATGGAGGTGCTCGGCTCGTCTGACTCGCAGGGTTGAGATGACCCCGAAATCTCCTCTTCCGAATCACCACATTCCCCCGGTCCATGATGCTGCTGTCAATTCACCAAGAGGACCCAAGAATTTCGGAGTTAGGGAAAGCGGTCTCTTGTATTTCAGTAAAGGCCTATACGATGAAAACGGCGATCATTTCCAATCAGCCAAATTTAACGCAGAACAGCAGGAATGTCAGGAAATTAAAGCATCAATCTGATATCCCCTGAAATTCTTTCTTTAGCAACCTTTGGCACCCCGATGCCCACACTTGTGCGTTCTGCGGTAAATTGTTATCCTTAACTTGTCGTGAGTGTCGATCCTCTCGAGTTTTAGAGAGTTTCTTAGCAAGTCTTAAAGTTGTGCCTTTCAAACGTTTCTCTTTGTAAATACACGTAGCTAGGAATAATTTACAGAGGGACAATCACCACACCCCTGATCGATACCATCCATTACGTTTTTAAGTCTTTCTCCCACAGGCGGTTCCAAATACTCACGTTTTCCTTGTTAGCGGGTACAGCTGGCTCTTTGGACTGCACTGCAGAAACTTTACGAGGCGCTTTCTTAAAACTGGAATTTTCCTTTCCTACAATTTAACAGTAGAGAGGGGCAAAATTTCAGCGAAAACTTTAGATACGCCGGCAAACAAACTTGAAGACAACTGGGGTTTGGCACAGGGCAACTACACTTCAGCATAACGCGATCGTTGCCAGTAGCCGAAGAATCGCCTTTCACTATCGGGACAAGTAACATCTCATACCGGGTCACTTTAAAACCACACAGACACCAGTTTATGGGGCTACAATATTATCACGTGTATACGGGTTCGGCTCGTGGAGGGTTACCCTGCAGAAAGAATGAGTGAAGACTTGGACTCGCCTTTTGACATTTTCTCTCCCCGAAATCCCTTATATAAGTACTCGGTTGACAGAATGGAATTGGTCTCGATGTCTGACCACCTCAGGACTGAACTACTACGTGGTGCTTCTTGTTATGATAGCAATATGGCAACTATGCATTTTTCGAAGGCAATGAGGCCTGTGATCAATAAACATGGGATTTGTGACCATACACCTTAAAAAAAAAACTAGCTTTGCCCGCTATAAGAGACAAAGGCCGGAAGATGAATCATGAATGAGTTTACCTTTTAGTTTCCTCTGAGCTACTTCTTTGGAGACAGCCTCCGTTATGTCCTCCTTGGTTAACGTTCCCAGCGAAATGTCGGTATCTCTCTCCTTGAACCTCACAGCAGAAGGTCCGACAGGTGCCTCTTTTGCGACCAAATCGTGCAGTTTCTTTGTGAGGATAGAGTTGAGCCAGAGAAACTCGCTAGCCTTGGACTTCTGGACAAAAAACTTGGAAGCATCGTGGGAGAAGCGGCAATCATCCAGCAAGGCGACGACTTCCTTCTTGTTCTCCCTCAATTCTTTCTCTTGTTGCCTGCTTTCCAGGCGAATTTCTCTAAGGAGGCGTTTCTCCGCCTCCGTTACGCTCTCCCTGATTTTGTTGGCCGCCGCCTGCACCAGACCCCTGGCCATCTCGTTCTGACTTTTAAGCACCGGACCCATTTCTGTAAGAACCTCAAGAGCAGCTTCAAGTTGCGGAATTTTCTTTTCCAGCCGCACCACTAGGGCTCCGGTGGTCCGCTTTTCTTCGCAGGCCGCGCTTTCCAGGCTGGTGTAGTTGTGGGACTTTTGGGAGCTGTGATCGAGTACGGTGCAGTCCCGACAGATCAACTTCTGGCAGCTCAGGCAATAGAACCGGCACCGTTCCCCTGCGTGACCCGAGCACTCTGGAGGGCAGTCCCGCCCCGTTCCGCTGGCCGGTGTCGCACCGGCACGCCGGCACTCATCCAGGGACCACACACCGTGCTCGCTTGATGCCGGCAGACGGTCGTGGATTGCCCGACAACAGGAGCAGAGAAACCTGGCGCAATCGTAGCACCGACAGACAGCCTCTCGCTCACACAACTCACAAGAAGCTATCGCACTTTTGCTCCAAAGAATCTCGGAAACAACGGCGTCCTCTACTAGCCTGCCCAGGAAGAAATTTGTTTTTATCCCTTCGACTCCGTTCTCGACCGGCGTCGCCTCTCGGCAAACTGGACACCGAATATCCTTCCTTGCAAGTTTGCTCGACTTCTGCATGCGTTGAAGACACTTCTCGCAATAGCTGTGCAAACAATTTAGAATCTTAGGGCGTTTGAATTTGTTGTTGCACAGAAAACACAGAAGCGGATCACTCTTCTCCTTTTCCATTTTTAGGAAAATATCTGAAGTGTTAAAAAGACAAAAAGGAAGAGATAAGCCGTCTGCACAAGGATCTTGAAACCTTTTCTATCTCCCACACTATAGCTTTCCTCTTTCAGCGGAACAAGGGTCCACGGCATAGAAGTGGACCTCGGTTAGGTACAGTAAGAATATTTTCAAAGTACTTAATGTTGTACTTACTCAGTTTATCGCACTTTGGCAGAATGAGTCAGCCCTCGAAACCAACTGGATCTTGCTCGTCTACTCCAGTTCAACTTCAACGCGCTCTCTCCTACAAACGCTATCCTCTTCCTTTTAAGAATCGGTTTTCAAATGGCACATCAATGCCGTACAAGAGGCTTTACCGTTATGGTTTCTAAACCCCCTAATTTAAGGAGAAGCGCGCAATAGATATTAATCATTCATCCTTTGGATTCAACAGTAACGAACTTTTCACCTTAAACAAATGCCAATTCATCCCCGCGTACAAATTTGGCACACAGGGATTTCCCCTGCAGCACGCAACCGCGCGAATCGCAGCATTATCGGGTTTTTCACAATGAGAAATATGCATTCTTTTTCAATCAGTCTGGCATCACGTCACCTTTTGCGTTTAGGTCACGCGATAAAGTCAATGGAGTGTCCTGAACCTCTTGGACAGGGAAGCTGTCATAGCCCTTTGCTGCGTGTGGGATGCCAATCAATTTTCCAAACCGAAACATGAAACTATATTCTTTTCGGACTTCTGTTGAACATAAAGTCTGCATCAACATATCTTGTGATCTTGTTACAGGTTTGTCTTAAAAACCGACGTTTTTGATAAGTTGTAAAATTAATTGAACTTTTTCACACTTAAGGTTTCTGTTGCATACATCTTCACGTAGAGCTGTGTGAAATTCATCAAATATCAATTCTGATTAAATTCAACGTAGAACTCCACCCACTGCAATCCCATCTAATCCCCACCAGAGACCACTAAATCTGCACTCCCCACAGTCCATGCCAACCTAACGTGGCCATCCACCCTAGAAAACCCGACATACCCCTATAAATCGCCAACTCGCCCCATCAAATCCGTACCTACCCATTTCAACAAATCCCAACTTCACCAAATCCGTGAACTTCTCTCTCCGTCACAGCTATCATTTTGGATGGGTGTGTAAAATAATGGAAAAATTGCCGTTGGTTCTTACTGTACAGAAATTCTTTTAACTTCAGCAAAACGTTACTTTGAGCACAGAACGACTCACCAACTGGCCAGAGGCAGCAATAAGACATTTTCTTTCTGATCAGGAAATACCGATTTCCAATAATTATCTAATACATGTTAAAATGCATTAAGTGAATTGATGTACTGTTCCCAGAAGTCGCCTGGTACATTTCATGTGGGAAAATTCAGAGCTTTAACAGTAACTATGTAATCAACAATTCACGGTCATAAACAACCATTACAATACCACGAATGGAACAATGTTACAGGAAATGCGGCTCAGCAGCGAAGGACGCGAACATAAGATAGAGTGATGCAATGCGTACATTTATTTTACATACAATCAACCAATGACACAATTTCAACACACGGGTAATGCAGACCCGATTAAAAAAAGACAGTTCTGGCAACGCAAATGACTAGCGAGGACAACTATAACGATCCTCATTTCGTGCCTCATTTTGTAGTTATGCTGTTGTTTCTTTTTCTCATCGAAAAATTTGCTGAAACTTGCTCTATAACTAAGGAATCTGATACAAGTCATTATTTAATTAGTATTTCCACCAAACAACACATTTCGACCTGAGGACCTAACATCCCCTGATTTGACCACCTGTTCAATATTTTCACCGCAAGTATACACACAGCTTATTCATAGCGCAAACTTAATCTTTCTCAATATCCCTTTTATTAACTACTTGATTTGCACTTCAACTTAGTTCACCCCCTCTCATGCATGGGCACATAATATCAACGAATCTCTACAGAAGGCCCCACTGCATAAAGTAACCCTTTGGTTACGGGTCTTCAGTGGTCACCATAAACACAGCAATAAATTTTACAAAAACAGTTTTCTTTCTTCCACAAAAATGTAATTAACATCACTGTCCTTCTTGATAGTCTTTCTCATTTTTTAACTGACGAGCTGCCTTCTTCATTGCTCAAGATTTCTGCACTACAAGTGATTGGGTCGCCTGATGCGTCTGAATCTCCGGTCGGTCCTTTATTTTCTTGTACACCACCCTCTGGACTCACCTGGCAGATAAACCAACAAAAGAAGAACGTGGACATTGGTGGACTTGTTTAAGAAAACATTCCTATTGGCCCATAGGATCGATGTTAAAGTAGGCCAAAACTTGACAAAGTGACTTGAAAGATACATGTAGGATTTGAAAAAAAAAAAGGACATTAGACCCCTTGCCGATACAACTCCACCCTTGACTAATTCAGTATTCACGGCAAGCCTAATGTAAATACATGCACTCTCTCTAAGTACTGGCACACATTCATACCTGTTGATGCTCCTCAGAAGAACAAGAGTCTACAGTGGGGGTAAGAACTGGTGCATCTGGATCTTCCTGTTGCACACTGTCACAACCTAAATTTTGAGGGTCAATATCAAAGGTTGTTAATAAAACTGTACTGCAACAACCCGTCCTCTAGTACAGGAAAGGTGGATGAAATTCATGGGGATGACGCTTCACATGCATAACCTTTTCTTTCCGACACACTTCTTATTTTGAAGTGGGGTATGACACAAAATACATGTAACCTTCTGTTGTCGTACATCCTTGATTATGCCACTTCCTACGATATGTTTAATTGATTGGAAATGCTGGGAAAAGTGGTGCACATTACGATGATGTAAACTAAGCATCACCTGCTTGGTTGTCCATTGCAGGATTTGATTCGGTAATCCCTGCCGACAGTGGCGCTAATAAGCAAGAAAACCCAGTTGAGGCTGATGTGGTCCCTGTTGCAGAAGTCTGGGTTGTGCTTGTGCTGCATTTCTCTGGCTTGAACGGTTTGAAAACAAGTGGGCTGAATGAATCTGGATCCCCCTTTTTGGGGAAAAATCCTTCAGACTTTGATGCGGCTGGAGTTATCCCTTTTGCTAGCTGCTTTGGTCTAGTTCCACCAAATGCACCAAGGCTAAATGATGAAGTGGAGCTAGAGGAAGCTGAGCTTGTACTAGTCTCAGATGTATCCTTTCCAAAGCTAAATACTGGAACAGAGGCGACTGTGGTGTTGGTTCTTGACACGGTCTGCCCAACACCAAATCCTGTGGAAGACAGGGTTGTGGTTGTCGCAGATGACAGTCCAAAGCCAAACTCTGAAGTACAGGAGGTTGCGATTGTGCTGACTGTTGGTTTAGACTGTTTAAATCCAAACACCGGTTTAAAGGAAATTCGGGACGTATTAGGCTCTGATGCAGCTTGTCCAAAGCCAAATCCTGATGCAGAGGCAGCTGTTACTGTGACTGATGTGTTGATCCTTGGAGTAGCCATTGCAAAGCCCAAAGCTGCAGAAGACTTGATTGTCGTAGTACTGCTTGGAGGTATTGACAGTCCAAATCTAAAGTCTGAAGTAGAGGGGGCAGTGGTTGTACTGGCTGTTGGTTCAAACTTGAATCCAAATACTGGCTTAGAGGAAAGAACGGTTGTGCTGGTCTTTGATGTACTCGCCTTTCCAAAAATAAATCCAAAAGCAGAGGCAGTTGTGGTTGTGACCATGGTGTTGGCTCTTGATGCTGCCTTTCCAAAGCCCAAACCTGCAGAAGGAGGGGCTGCAGTTTTTTTCTTTGCAGGTCCTGCCAGCCCAAAGCAGAAAGGTGAATTAAAGGACGCTGTGGCTGTGCTTGTTGTTGTTTCAGATTGTCCAAAGCTAAATACTGGTTTAAAAGAAGCCTGGGTTGTGGTAGTTCCTAGGTCTGATGCAGCCTGTGCAAAGCCAAAAGCAGAGGTGGTCGTTCTTGTGTTACTTCTTGATGTGACATTTCCAATGCCCAAACCTGCAGAGGACTGAGTTGTAGTTGCACTGTTTGCCGGTACTGAAATCCCAAAGTCAGAGCCTTTACCAAAGGAGGGTGTAGTTGTACTTGTTTTTGATTCAGACCGTCCAGAACTAAACATGGTTTGTTGAAAGCCAAATCCCGCAGAAGACTCGGCAAAGGTTGTGCTGGTTGCAGGTGGGGGAGACTGGGTCGTGGTTCTAGTGTTTACAGGGACAGTTAATGGGGCTGGAGTTTTGCTGGTTTTTGGTTCAGACTGTCCAAAACTAAGTGCTGACGCTGTGTTGGTTGATGATGTGGTCTGCTGAGAGCCAAATCCTGCAAAAGACTGGTAGGAAGTTGCACTGCTTGTAAGAGTTGAAAGACCAGATCCAAATTCAGAAGCACATGTCACCGTTGGTACATTCCCAAAGCCCAATGTGGCCTGTCCAAATCTAATTCCTGAAGCTGAGGCTGCTGATGTTGTTTTGGTTCTCCATACACTCTGTTCAAAGTCCACACCTGCAGCCTGTCCAAATTTAAGTTCTGAAGCTGAGGCTCCTGGGTTTGTTTTGGTTCTCCATGCACTTTGTCCAAGGTCCACACCTGCAGAAGATTGGGTTGTGGTTGAAGTGTTTGTGGGTATTACTAGGCCAAAGCCAAAATTCGAAATTGATGGGGCTGTAGTTGAGCTGGTAATTGATTCAGACTGTCCAAAGCTAATTACTGAAGCTGTGCTGGTTGATGATGTGGTCCACTGCTGAGAGTCAAATCTTGCAAAAGACTGGTTGGAGGATGAGGTGCTCGTAGGTGTTGAGAGACCAAATCCAACTCCGGAAGCACATGTTGCAGGTGGTACAGTCCCAAAGCCTAATGAGTCCTGTCCAAATCTAATTCCTGAAGCTGAGGCTGCTGACGTAGTTTTGGTTCTCCATACACTCTGTTTTAAGTCCACACCTGCAAGAGACTGCGTTGTGGTTAAAGTGTTTGAAGGTGCTAATTGCCCAAAGCCGAAATTCGAAGTTGACGGGGTTGTAGTTGAACAGGTTCTCGGTTCTGACCCTCCAAAGCTACATGTAAATCCTGAAGCTGAGACAGCTGTGTTTGTGGAGCCGTAGGTTTGGTCGTTAGCTTTGCTGTTTCGTGATCTACCGATCTTTTTCTTCAGATGCCATGCAGATGTTCTCGATGGTACCTTTGACTGACGGGCATTTATGCTTGACTGTTTCCCACTGCTACATGTATCTGCTAAATGATAAATAAACCTGAGAATGCTTAAAAAGAGAATGCAGTATTTTAACTGTTAGAAAGTATGCGGCAAATATCCTGTTGACTTGAGCAGTACACATGTTCTACCACCTGCTGTTAACATTCAGGTCAATACAATATTGGGTCTAACAATGGTACATTGATATCCTATAACACTGGGTGAAGGCACTTTTTAGGCCCAGGTTATCCTGCCATATATCAGTGCAGTGCATGCAGTGCATGCTGTTAAATAAGAAAAACATTAAAAGCCAGACCATTTTGTCAATTTTTGACTGAATATGCCCAAGCTTCGAAAACTGAGAAGTGAGTCAGATAAGCTACAGTGTAAGCACAGCGTCTATTAAATCAAACTATGTAAAGTCATTAGTGTCTTACCTTGGTCATGCAATTCGTGTGGTAGAAATGTGTTCATTCCCGTTTTCACTAAAGTACCAATCTCACATTTTCCTTCCCTTTTTCGGAAATCCCAGAGAGGTAGCCCTTTATGGATGTCAGATGTTTTTCTGCTCAAATGAGCCTCTAAAGCTTGTCTGATGAGAGGGAACACCGCCAGGAAATCCTGATCTTCTGAAGTTTCACAAAAAGCATCTGCTACTTCTTTGGTAGTACTCATCTTTTCTATTGCAGACTCTATGGCTGTACCTCTTTTGATAAGGGTTTCCTGTTGGTTCCTTCGAATTTTGGACAGTTGAAAGACAAGATGTGATTCTTCAGCAGAAACCTCTGCATGAACTTTGCTAGCATGCTCCTGCACTTGTTTCTTGACACCATCAAGGTATCCACCACATTCTGGCCTCTTCTTTTTAACAGCATCTAAAGTGGATTTAAATTCAGAGAGGGTGATCTGGAGTTTTTCCAACATCTCTCTGAACAACTTTCTTCCATCTGAGGCGGCTGATTTCAAGTCAATTTTCAAATGACACGTGCTGCCACTTTCGCTTTTCTCGCAATCACAAGGGCAGTGTTGGCAGACCAGTTCTTCGCAGGTTTCACAGAATTTTTTCTCCTCACCAGAGTGCAGTGGGCACTCAGCTGCTTCTCTCTGCTTCCTAAATCTGTGAGCAATCTTACCGAAACTGAGATCATCCAGTGATGCTTCCGTGTGTTTCGCTAGTATAGCCGCAACGTGTTGGGGCACTATCTGGCACTTTAGGCAAAGATTCTGGATACAGTTGATACATTTTGAGACGGCCTCCTCCTCATCACAACACCCACAGATATGCCCCTTTTTGTTCTGTTCACTCTGTGCTACCTGTTCATGCACAGAGATCTCTTCAATAAGGCCAACAAGGTGGAAATTAGTTTTCAACTTGCCAATGCCCTGCTCAGGGAGTTTGGACTTCTGATTGCAGACTGGGCATTGAATGAAGCTCCTTGACCGATGCTCTGATGAAAATTGCTGTAATGTTACCAGGCATTCTTGGCAGAAGGTGTGCAGGCAGTCGAGGATTTTCGGTTGCTGGTATCTCCCATGGCATATGGGGCACTCAAGGAACTTCTGACTGATGCTTCCAAGAACAGAAGTTACATCTGCCATTTTGGCTCGCCTTTTAATAACACGCACCTGCCAAAATGAATGTATAATTTCATACCATCAATCTTATGGGGGGGGGTTAGGATGCAAAAATCTGAAGAAGTTGGCATCCTTAACAGATGCTTCACATCAGATGAGTGTCCATCAGCTCAGCAAAGTCATGACACTTGATCCAGTTCATGTCAGTCTCAGTCTCTGTATTTGACATATAAGATCTCGAATTTCACGATTGTGACAACATCTTTTTCCACCATGGTGACAGAAACAGCGTACCCAGATACTGTTAATCAGTGGAAGGGAGTATTTTTGATGTCATCAGGTCACGCGTTCTGTTTCTAACCAGCCAGGATTGAATCGATACCATATGACTGCTGCATTTCTCAACTGGAAGTACTTGTACATTGTAAGTGCATGGCCCAGCAGTTATAAATTTGGCCATGAGACAACAAACTTGTGAAAGCAAATCCCAGCCTGATGTTTGAATCTAATTCTAAGTTAAATTGTAGGATACTTCACTTTACTTTCTGTTATGTGTGGCTTTGGAAGATTTATTAAGGGATGTTAAGTCCCCCGAAAGGACCAAAACTGCACTATAGCCTAGCTCAGGTGGACACCCTGACCACACTATGTTGTAATGAAGACTGGCATCCAACCTGGGCTACACTTTCACAATGCATCAATGGAAACAGTTGAAGATTTGATATGGTAAAATTGTGAAGTCCCCTGAAACACACTCTGGACATTTAATTTAAATTGCTGTGCTGGTAAAACAGCGAAAGTACTGTATATATATGGACCATGAACCAGTTAGCCATTCACACAGCCTAAGAAATCACTGCCGGAAAATTGTCAAAAATTACCGATTTAAAATTAATCTTAAATCTGTGCAGATTATAACACAAATAACTGCACATAGACGTGTCCAAATAATAACAAAATGATACATAAAAAATCCTGCATCTCAATGTATTGTAGGCTGCTTTGGGTAGCTCTAGTTTATAGCCTGCCACTGAAATGGACTCCCATGTTTGGCCATGGACTTGGACTATGAAGGAAAGGGGAGCAAGTAGTAAAGATGTTTACTCATAGTTTTGGAAAACAAACATAACGTGCGAAAAACACCTGTAGAAATACAGTCACTCTTAACTGATGCTGGGCTTACTGAGCAAGGGGTCTTTACGATGGATTTGTGATTTTGTATGTGTTGTGCAGACTGAACCTGGGTCCCGCAATGGCTGACAACAATAGAGGGCCTGTGTGGAGCGCCCTCCCAGGGGACATGTTTTGTTAGAAGGTTTACTCGAGCCTATCCTTTAGCCTATAGAATAGGCTCGAGTAAGAAAGAAATGACCACTAATGACGTCAAATGCAGGCTCTCTATTAAGGGACATACACTCGTGTCTACATACATGTATATCTTATAATTATGCTTTTAAACATCACTCTCTTGAAATGAAATGAGTCGCAAAACTCTATAATTTAACACCTCAACCGTCCTAGGAAGCTCTGTCGGAAACTCGTGCCTAAATATACTGCGTGTGCACAAAATAGGTCTACCACATGATACAAATGATCACGATCGAACGATTCGCGTCCACACTGTCCAGATACGGACACTACAGCACACGAGCACGGAGTGGTTTTCACAAACATGACGAACAACATGTTCTGATATCTCACCTGGTAAATTCACAAAGAGTTTAGGAACTAACTGCGTAGTTGCCCACATCTGTAAGTTGAACGTATGTAACTCAAAATGCAAGATTACGCCTTGGCCTTTACGCAATTGCAGTTGCACGCACATACACCATCGAGGTAAGAGAACTGGGAAATCCCCAATCACGCAATTCCATAATAGACAGGCTTTCAGTCCCTTCAGCTTATTATGTGACATGACGTCACGTGCACTGCACATAGCGTTACGTTGTATCATTGATCGTCGTTTTTACGTGGAACCTCTGGAAAAGGAGCCTTAGCTGCGCGTCCGCGTGTACGTGTAGGCCTACGTGTACATGTACGCGTATGACGAAGTCACTTACGAACTGGATAAACCACGTACATACACGACGACAACAATCTTTGTTGTGATACCCGCGGGATAGGACAATAGTTACAATAATCTCAATGCTGATTGGTCAAAAGTAATCTGGTGGTCGGTGGTGGTCGCTGCATGATGACGTCATCCGGCGATTTCGATGCTATTAGATAGACTCGTAACAAATTAAATGTAGCAGTTGATAAGAAACGTGCATTGTGTACAATTTCACAAGTGCCACCAATGTTATGGGCTTACATGGCATCGCATGCTTTCGCCAGAGTTAGTGATGACGTGCGCAACAAATTAAGGTGGAGACGTGCTCCTTTTACCACAACTATTTTTGATATGCAGCGACAAGCCATTTCATTCACGAGCAGTCTGGTTTTGTTCTGAAATATTTTGCAAATGTTTGCGTGTACAGTGTAATTCGACAACCAGAATTAGAAACCATTACTGAGGTGGCACAACGCTTGTGGACAGGTGGTACGTCGACCAACAGGGTGTCGTGATTTGCCCAATACACGCGCGCGTCAGGCTGAGGAATGTGCGTGTGAGTGGGGTGCAACCGCAGTTATGGCGCGATCGGATTAGTCTATAAAAGCGTACCCACCGGTTTAATGTAAAAACTCGAGGACAGTATCAACGTACGGGCTGTACTTCACAAATGATAGAGAAACTTTGAACCAATTTTTTTTTTTTACCCCGCGGGAGGGTCAGGCTGAGGGGAAGAACGGGGATAAACAAAAATAACTCGTTTTTCTCCAGGCATTCTAAAGATTATCATTTTCTTTCTTGGAAGTTAATTTAAGACAGGGTCGGAGGCATAATTTTTTTTCTTGGCAGGAAATTCCAGAAATAGTCCGTGGGTCCTCATTTTCCCCCTCTGTAGGAGCCAAAATAGGGTCAGTCGAAAATGAGAAGAATCGTGTAAATAACTAATGTAAATAACCAATGCTAACCAACGCAAAAAATACATCTTGAAAATAGTTCGCAGTACCCACAGCTTTACCAGTTGACCCCGGCAAGCTCAGTGGTTAAGACGTCTAGCACTAGTAAGCAATACATCTTGAGAAAGCTAATCATATACATGTACTTCTGTATATACGCGTACATCGGTGTACATGCAATGTAGGCCTATTCATCACTGCACCGTAGCGCTGTTTGTATTATTTCATATTAATAATACATATCCCTAATCACGCAAAATCATAGACTAGCTACAAGTTCTACGTGCGAACAAACTCCAGGACAATTCTTTGCCACCCTACTTCTTGCAGTTGGTACTCGGTAATAGTTCTTTTAATATTATGGCAAGAAACCCTACAAAAAACATATGGAGTGCAATCCGTCTAATAATACGGAGGACACAGGTGCTGGGGCATTGCGGACGCGAGGCCAGGATGTTTGGGTTAGATTGGATGGGTCTTTGATGTTAAACAGTGGTCACAAAAGGCGTGGACATGTTTGGGATGGGACTCTTGAATAATTCAGCAGGGTTGGTAAAATGTCCGTTATATACATCTGAATAAATATTTAATGACAATCACTTGAAATGTCATTGAACATTAATATAGGCAACAGCTTGCCGTGAGGTTCAAAACAGAAGAGGTAGTACTGCAGTTCAAGAAGGCAGTAGATGCCGCCAAAAAAGACATTATGGCAGAAAAGGGAGGACAGACGGATGGAAAGAAAGATGAGAAAGAGGAGGGTGGTGATGAAGCAACAGACAAGCAAGACAGAGAAGAAGGTCAAGATGACAGCAGAGGGAGAAGTGATCCTGGTGGACAGGAAGGTCATGATGTCTGCAATGTTAATTAACACATAACTAATTAACCCCACTCAAGTCATCAGCTAGGCCCAGCTTTGGAGCAAAATCAGCTATATCCATGTCTACCACCAAACCAAGCAAGGAACAACACAAACAACTCTCCTTTGCTGATATGGCCAAGGTTGAGGGCTCAGCATTCGCATTCCGCTTGGATATCTGCAAGTCGCTAGAGATGAGTTCTGGGATGTTGCCCTTCAAGCCCAGGACCCTGGATTACATTCAATCTGTGCCAGTCATTAACTTGCCCATATGCATTCAAATGAAAACAGGGGAAGAGCGTGAGACAACTAAATTTAGCCACCGAGCCTAGTTGTACTGTTTTGACAAAGACTCCTCTCAGTGGAAAGAGCGTGGAATTGGGGACATTAAGCTCTTGTACAACCCAGCCAATGGGAAATATCGCATTGTCATGCGCCGGCAGCAAGTTTTAAAATTTTGCGCCTATCACTACGTCACACCTGAAATAAACCTGCAGTTCACATGCTGCATCAACAAAATCCTGGGTTTGGATGGCAATGGATGCCTCAGAAGAGGAGGCCCAAATGAAACGGCTTGCCGTGAGGTTCAAAACAGAAGAGGTAGCACTGCAGTTCAAGAATGTAGTAGATGCTGCCAAGGAAGACATTAAGGCTTAAGAGGGAGAACAGACAGATGAAAAGAAAGATTATAAAGAGGAGGTTAGTGATGAAGCAACAGAGAGGCAAGATGGAGAAGAAGGTCCAGATAACAGCAGAGAGAGAGGGATACAGATGAAAAGGAAGGTGACAGTGATGGCAATGAAGATGTAGACGATGTGGATGATGATGATGATAACTATGAAGATGTTGATGAGACTGAAGAGGAAAAGGGTGAAGACCAAGGGAACACGATGAAGAGGATGAGAGACAAGAGGCAGTGGAAGAATGTAAGTCCAACCTCTTACAAGCTTACAATTGATTTGAGACTGTTTCTTTCAAGGCAAGTATGCATGAGTTACATTCCTTTTACTGATTTGGTCCTGCACTACAGAAAGGCAGGCTTTTAAAAATTAATTCCACATTTTGAGGCAGAATGATTGGAAGGATCATTGACACCTTCCTGCTACCAGTAGATATGACAGTGGACATCATCTGGTGGCAAGCATCCAGAATCTTGATTAAATACTTGATTAATGAAGTTGAAGTATTTGTACAGGAGATGCTAACCACCCGATTGTGAAATCCTGCAATCCCAACATCTCCAAGGCATTCTCGGAGCTGCTACGAACCTCCATCACTAGCCATGCCTAGGAGCTGAAGTTGGGAGTGGAGACCCCCACAACTTCAACATCTTCCACGAGCAAAGATGAGGATGCAGTCGAGAGCAGCAAGGATGACAGCATCTCAGAGGAACGTGATGATATCCACTGTGAGCCAGTCGCCCAGCTCCCCGAGCAGGTGGGGTGTCACTTTGTTCAGGAATGGAGTATGTGGAAAGCATTTTTTATCCACTGTATCTACCTTGGCTAAAGATGTAAGTTTTCCCAGGACCCCTCTCAGAAATGAGATGTTGATTGTGAACTTGAAACAAATTTGATACATGAATTACATCCTAAATATGATACATGAACAACTGGTTATTGTAATGCAGTCATTCAAACAGCTCTTGTGATTCTGTTGAAGTCTGTTTGGTTTAGAAGGTGTCATTTATTTAATAACAGGTAGATGTAATAACTGGAGAGGAAGATAAAAATGAACTCTTAATTCTGCTCACGGGCAAAGCTTTATCGCTTTGACAAGGCCGCAGCTCAGTGGAAGGATCGTGGTATTGGGGATATCAAGATCCTGGGGAACACTTCGATGAAGCGTTATCGTGTCATTATGAGGAGGGACCAGGTCTTGAAGGTGAGTAGGAGAGAATGGAACTTCATGATTAGAGTTTGTTTTTTGTTTAAGAATTACAAGTTTGAACATCACAGCTACAGCAGCAATCATGCCATCTTGTAAGATTTTGGATGAGTGGATGAGAATTTACACAACAGATTCCCTGTGGTTGCTCTCTGCAGCTCTGTGACAACCACTACATCACCACGGAAATGACCCTTGAGTCCAACGCAGGGTCTGAGAATTCCCTGGTTTGGCAGGCCATGGACACATCGGAGGGCGAACCACAAATGGAGGAGCTGGCCGTGCGGTTAAGGCTAGCCGGGACCACCCACCGCTTCGAGACAGTCTTTGAAGAGTGCCAGGCAGAATTGAGGAAACAGAGGCAACAAGATTTGTGTCGTGATGTTTTTGTGAATAAAAATTTAAAAACAAAAACATTTGTTCAATGAGACACCAGCATACACTGCCTCCAAAGTCAGAAAACCTTAGTTGTGAGACCGGCAAAACCAATTTTGAAAAACTGACATGGATCAAAGGAGGAAAGAAATTTACTCTTTTTATTCTGCACGGTGATCACAGACAATCATTCAACATTAATGCATGCTTTGTCCACAATTTTGCCACTTCCTGTTATGGAATCACACTTAAGAGGTCTGACATATTCAAACTGAAGTTTAATGTTCAAGCATTCTATAAAGCAAAACGTTTGGATTTTATACCATGGGTGATGTTTTAATTAAAACTTCAGAAAGTAAAGTGGTCCCAAAACTTTCAGAGCAAGTAGTCTTCAGTTATTGAATAATTTTACCACTTACTGAAAAATCCTGGTCTACTTTAAAAGTGAGTATAGATAACGAGAGATTATTCCCAAATTGACTACAGTACATGAACTGATTTTCCAATTAAATGTAAAGCAATACCCATCTCCCTCTCTTTCTTTACACAAGATGCTTACTTACAGACTCTCATCTACCTCTACACTGTAAAGTAAGTTTCAATCAGGAGTTTGTTGAAAAACTACACATTTGTCCCTTAATTTTACCACCAATGCTGACAATAATGAATACTAAAACTAGCAACTATTGCAAAAGTCACATATTTACATTGTCGTAGGTAAACTTGGCTGTCACAAAGCTGTGTTTTATCGATCTGCCCTTATGTACCGAAAGGGCAGTGTCTCATCACAGCTTGCTACGAAAGGGACATCCCCCAGCACGCAATACCATAGAGAAGCTGCAGTCCTTTCAGTGAATCCTTTTCCGGGATTGAAGTTCAGCTTCAATCCCGAATACTGCCTCGGGCGTATTCAACATGACGTTGGGGAGCATTACGGTCCCGACATGACATTCTTGCTTTTATTTTTGCTGATGATGTTTTCTGATGGTTTTAGTGCTGATATTGATGAATAACTTTCTTTTATAATCACCTGTGAAATATTCTTCAAAAAAAGAAAAAAATGCGTGGGGGGGGGGGAATTGCCCCCTTCCCCCGCTGGATACGCCTCTTGTCCTCCAGCTCCCGCCAAACGCAAGAAAAGGGACACAACCATAGAGCTTTATAATTTAGCTCGGTGGACACAACACAGCAGGTGTCCAAAGAACAAGTTGTCTGCGGCCCGCTCACTGCATGCAAGGAACAACAGCCGATTCCCAATTTGCAAATTCGATGCTGATTGGTCAAAGCTTTGGGCACTCGGCGCGCGCAGCCCTCCTGTGTAATGTGTGTAGGCCAAATTTGTGGTTGGACATTGCACTCGACTGACACTGCGATCAGGGAAAGTCTGGTCTGGGATCAAACTGCAGGATGGACGCACTGTTTGAAGGGTAGTAACGTTTTCAGAAACTTTAGAAGGTAATTCCTCAATTTCTTCTGACGTTCACTGATGTTTTTGTAGCATCTCCTGTTCATTTGACATGTTCAGTCCATGTTTAGTCCAAGCTCAGGTCAGACAACGTGTTAACGAAGTTATGGGCCGACTGCCCGCCCAATCATCCTGACCTCGCCACG